CTATGTAAACACGGAAAAAGTGCTCTATTTTTTTAAGTATTGACTACAAAACTTTCTCAAATGCCTATCAGGTCTAGATTGTCACGTGTATACAAAATAAAAGGTCCCTTAGGTCTAGTAAAATACATTTTTTTCACGAATTCCACCAGCCAAAAAAGAGCAACGATGAAGGGTGTATAGATCTGCTGAAATTCACACAGCAGATTAAACAAATCCTCTGAGAAAAGGATGTTCGTGATCTATTTCTCTTCTCCCTCCACCCCACCCCTACCAAAATCAACTGATACGCTCCCGAAGAAAAACCTTGTCTCTAAAGAAAAGGTCCTCTCCCTGTAAAGACAGCAGTTTGACTCTGTCGTTTAAACTGTCGGGTGCACCAAATCTCTCATGCGCTGGCGTGTAGAAAACCAAGTCACCTGCATATCGATAAACGATCGGAAAAGACACGAAAGGCGACGACCACGGACAATTCCCCATCGTACCTTTTTGAAACCCGCAAAATTTTGTCAAATAGCAAACGCACAATTTAGGGCGAAATTTATCCTATTTATCTAAAAACTCTCAATATATTATTAACATAATCACACAAGGTCTTGCAATATTCAAATGTAAATTAGGCACAAGCTGTAATATCTGATTGATTATTTGCATTAACAGTCACATGTGGTATAGTGGAGATCACTGTCGCTCCTCAAACCAGAGTTCCAGACGGCCACAAGTTCGATCACCACTCGGAGCTTTAATCACTCCTTTTTCTTCTTTTTTATTTTTGTTTTCTGTCGTCTTACTGCACCGCCGAAAAAGGCGTTGACTACCGAATCGGAGCTGCACACACTGCATTTGGCAAACTTTACAAAAGAGTCTTCAAGAACAAAGACGTCAGCCGAACCACCAGACTCATGGTCTACCAAGCGGTTGTCATTTCCACTCTGCTCTACAGCTGCGAGGCCTGGACACTGTACCAGAAGGACCTGATGAAGCTCGAGCAACTCCACCAACGAAAGTTCCGCTCCATCCTCAACATCAAATGGGACCATTACACCACAAACATCTCCGTCCTGGAGCAAGCTAACGCTGTTAGTATTGAGTCCATGGTGGTGAAACATCACCTCCGCTGGTCTGCTCCTGTCGTCAGGATGAGCGATGCTCGCTTGTCTCGACAACTTCTCTGCAACGAGCTGACCATCGCTTTACGTCCAAGAGGACGCCCTCTCCTCTGCTTCAAAGATCAGCTCAAAGCTACTTTCAAGAAAACTGGAATTGATCCGAGGACATGGGAGGCAACAGCCGCAAATCGATTTGGCTGGCGACAGTCCATTTCCACCGGGACTGCCATGTTTGAAGCGGAATGGAGACGCAAAGCCGTAGAGAAACGTGAAGAACAAAAACGCCGTCTTGCAGCCCCTCGTCCACCGCCCACCCTCCCGTGCCCTCACTGCCCTCGCAAATTCTATGCAAGGATTGGCCTGCTAAGCCACCTCCGAGGCCATCAAAGATGAGACCGTACTGTTAGAAGAAATTGATGCTCGGACACGAGCTAACGCCGACGACGACGACATAATTACAACAGTTTTCCTATTTAATAGCCGCCTCTTTTCCTAGGAAGTACCTCAGCCTACAAGATCAAGACTAAATTAAGATAGTTGAAACACGATTGGAGGTTATAATTCCGATACGAAAAGTTGTAATGATACTTCGTAATGTTTAGACCAGTAATGATCTAAGACGTTAATAAGCTTAACTGATCAACCAAGGCTATGGAAGCAGTGAATAAGTTAACGGAAAAAGAGAGCGCAGAAATTAGCGCCGAACTAATTACATTGTTGACTGAAGAGGTTAGCATGAATGGAAAGGCGACTAAAAGAACAGGTGAAATGCAGGTGCGGTGTTCTTTGCGCGTCGCAGAAAACTAAAAGTCGAGGGGTCCTAGAAGTACGAGAGGTTGAGAATTTACTCAAGAATTGGTTCATTCTTAGCGCGTATATCGAGTTATCGATGCACGCGAGACGCTTGGAGAGCACGCCAGAGATGTAAGCGTTGCTCGAGGCGGCGCAGCCGAGAGCAGCTCCGCTAGCTTCTTGAGTGCTCTGGAAACTTCTTGAGTGCTCTCGAACTGATACACAAAAACGCCCCACAAAAACACGCGTACGCTTACCATATTTGTGGGCTGATGATGGCTAAGCCAATGAAAACTCTCGAATTGCATTATCCAGGAAATTTCTACGATGGCTCCACAGAAACTAGGTACGACCAGCGCGCGCGCTATGTTATAAAAAGAATTTTTACTTGGTTGTTATAGACAAAAAATATATATTGAACTTAAATAAACCCCGTGAAAGAGACTTACGATGCAACGCAAATACACGTACAGATGAATTCTCTGTTTGAAAAAAAGATGAAAGTGAACAATCGTTCCTCACACAGGCCAGAAAAAATCAGTATTATTTAATCACCCCATTCATGCGATACAATATTCATCTGATTACTATCATTTTTTCCCCTCGGTACATGCTATTAAAATACGCTTTATTTCCAATACATAAATGTATTTACCTCCGTTGCGTTTCATAACCAATTCATAAACTTGCGCCCCAGTTCACATGTACTGGAGCAAAGACCTGTTCTATACCGAACGGAGTTTGCTCCCTTCATATCATCTCTCACATATAATTACCTCGTAGGCCATTATACTAAAGAGGTCAATATTCAAAGAAAATTACATGTATTAGTTATCAGCATGAGATTTTTTTCCGATAAATATAGAAAAAGTTTAGAGTCAACAAATCAAGTGGGGATATTCAGATGTAAAGAACCCCAAGAGTTTCTGGCGATGAACTCCTCTCACCCTGGGGAAAATTTTTTTTTTTTTTGAACATTTTAAATAGCAACAATTCACACTGGGCACTAAAGGACTTCGCTGGAGTTTGCAGTGCAGCAGTGTGCATTCAACACGTCACGAAACGTCACGTCACGCAAAATAACGCCCAGGTAATGGTTTTCAAGACAGAAACTACCTTGCCCTTTTCATTAGAGATCTAAAGGAGTAATTTATTTTTTGTGCAGTCGCCAAGAGTATCAGCCAAAGTGAAATATTTGCTACATGCATGAAAAACGAAGAGAAAGATTTTCTCAGAATTAATTACCACATTGTGTTGTAAATAGATCTACATGTACATGTAACCTAAGGCCACGTACAAAACTCAAATCAGGATAACATAATTATTTAAGTTTAAGTAGCTTTAGCGACGTTACACGCTCGTTAAGGAATTCACTGCAATGCGTGCGTGATATTTTACTGGATTTCCAGTTGGGTTAGGGAAGGAATTGCAAGGAACTCTACTGTATCTCATATCGACAGGTTTCATATTTCTCATGACATTCATGAGTTTGTTTATAAGGAAACTGCTGAGACA